CCCAGTAGATAGTTGTATGTCATAGCTGCACATCCTTCCAGTTGCTGTATGTGGGACGCGGCCTCAGCATAGCCGGAGAAGCGGTGCGCGTCCGGGATCCGAACCCGGGCTGCCAGCAGCAGAGCGCGTGCACTTAACTGCTAAGCCACGGGGCCGGCCCTTCCTTGGGATTCTTAGAACTGTATATTCTTGTTATTAGAGTACATTCCTGCTTTCTCTTGTAAACTCTTAAGAGTATTTTCCCTGTGACATTTATCATAATGATTTATTCATTGCTTGTGTTCTATAAATGTTTAAAATTCAGCATGCATTTGTTAAGTACCTATTATGTGCAGTGCATGAAGTCAAATACAGAAAAAAAAGTAAAGGAAATGGAAAGGCATATTCTAGCAGCAGGGGAAAATGTTGCTCACTTTTATAATTTAATTTATTTATTTTTCCCCCAAAGCCCCAGCAGATAGTTGTATGTCACAGCTGCACATCCCTCTAGTTGCTGTATGTGGCACGCGGCCCCAGCATGGCCAGAGAAGCGGTATGTCGGTGGGCGCCCAGGATCCGAACCCGGGCCACCAGCAGCAGAGCGCGCGCACTTAACCGCTAAGCCACGGGGCGGCCCTTGCTCACTTTTAAAAGACAGATTTGAATTTATAAAAATAAAAGATGTTGACATCCTGAAATGTAATAAATGTGGAAAAGAAAGTAAAAAAACAGAAAAAATATTTTACCCACATATCTGATAAAATCTTACTATGCAAAATAGATGAAGATTTGATAGAAATGTATATGGTCTGTAACAGGATTCTGCTTGATAGATAGTTGGAGGAGAGAAACAGTTCACACACAAAACCTGTATGAATAATATATTGTTTTTCCAACAATTAAAGAAACGTAGGTCAGACATTTTCAAAGTACATTTATTCAGTAAAAGATTTACTCACGAAACGTGTAATGTGGTGCAAAAAAAACATGATGACAAAAATATGTAGTACAAAGCATTAAAAACAAAAACACCAAAAGCTAATCCCCTTTTTCTAAGCCTTTTTACTTCCATGCCAGCTTTTGTTTTTAATAGACTTTATTTTTAAGAGCAATTTTAGGTTCACAGCAAAATTGAGTGGAAGGTACAGAGATTTCCCATATACCTCTTGCCTCCACATAGACACAGTCTCTCCCACTATCTAAATTCTACACCGGAGTGGTACATTTTTTATAATAGATGAACTTACATTGACCCATCATTATGACCCAAAGTCCATGGTTTATATTAGGGTTCACTCTCAGTGTTGCAAGTTCTATGGGTTTTGAGAAATGTATAATGACATGTATTCACCATTAAAGTATCACGTAGACTAGTGTCATTGCCCTAAAAATACTCTATGCTCTGCCTATTCATCCCTCTCTTCCCCCTAACCCATGACAACCACAGATCTTTTCAGTGTCTCCATAGTTCTGCCTTTTCCAGAATGTCATGTATGAAGTTGAAATCATACACTATGTAGCCTTTTCAGATTGGCTTTTTTTCACTTAAAAATATACATTTAAGTTTCCTCCATGTTATTAGCACTGAGTAATATTCCATTGTCTGTATGTAACACAGATTATCCACTCACCTACTGAGGGACATCCTGGTTGCTTCCAAGTTTTCACAGTGATGAGTAAAGCTGCTGTAAACATCTGGCAAGCAGTTTTTTGTTCCCTGCCCATCACTTAAACTCTCTGGGGCTCGAATTCCTCATCCGTAAAATTTAGTTGATGATTTCCAAGGATTCTGAGGTTTGAAATTGTGTGGTTATCTAGATAAAGATCATGAGATCTTATTTTATACTGATTGAATAACTCAGGTATGCCTATATGCTGATGACACTCTTAAGTTGGTAGAGCCTTTCCAGTAGAAAGCAGTCTGGTCCTATATAACAGAAATTATACTCTGTTCTTACTCTTTGATCAGATCATTCTATTTCGAGAGGTGTACTTCAAGTAAATCCAAATGGAGGTTAAAAAATAACATCTTTTTTTTTTAAACAAAGTTTTTCCTAGAGGGGTAATTTATAAAAGCCAAATAAAACAAAACAAAACTATGGAACCAATTCAAATGCAAAGTAAGTTGCATGAGAGCAGGGATCATGACTGTTTATTCTGATCGATGTGTACCTAGCACCTAACTCAGTGTGGTGGTCTAAATATTAGTTGAATGTAGAAATACTGGAAAAAGAACTTACGGCAAAGAGAAGAGCTTTTACTGAATGTAAAAGATTATAGGAGATGGCGTTCTGTCCTTCCCTTTGCTTGCTACTCGGCATCTCATTGCCAGACTCAGCGTGCCAGCTGTTCCTGCTGAACTCCACACTTGGCCCCTGTACAGACACCAGTGAAGCCCTCAGGCATGTGATGTAGCAGCTATGACAGATCTGCTTCTGACTTGGAAAAGGGCATCAACATGGCCGTAAAGGGGTTACAGCAAGAGTAGACTGTGTGTCCCAGTTGCCAGGACAGTCTCCGTGTACGCATGATGTCTCAGTGTAGATCTTAGTAGCATCTCCTTTCACTCTCAAAGGCATCCTGGTTTGGACAGTAGGTCACCATTTAGGTGAGGGTCTGACTGTCTACTTCACTGCTATATTGGGAAACATTTTCTTGTTTTATCAGTTCAGTTTACTTTTTTTTTTTTTATTTATTTATTTTTTCCCCCAAAGCCCCAGTAGATAGTTGTATGTCATGGCTGCACATCCTTCTAGTTGCTGTATGTGGGACACGGCCTCAGCATGGCCGGAGAAGCGGTGTGTCGGTGCGCGCTCGGGATCCGAACCCAGGCCGCCAGCAGCAGAGTGCGAGCACTTAACCGCTAAACCACGGGGCCGGCCCATCAGTTCAGTTTACTTTAACAAGCATCTATTTAACACTCAGTAGATGTAAGATACATCTTACGTCTATTGTGTTGTGAGATACTACAAAGAAAATTCAGACAAGGCTCCTTTCACCAAAGAATTTCACTTTAATGCTTTTTCGTCTTTATTTTGGTAACTCATAGCCTCATTTAGAATCAGAAGTGTTCCTAGACCCAAGCTCGTGCCCTGGCCTTCAGCCATTTAGAAGACCCTTTTCTGGCTTGCCTCTGGCTGTATGCCCCTCTCTCCTGTGGGACTTAAGGGCATATTCCCATCTAAGGAATATAGATGGGCCCTCCTGTGCCCTCACCACAAGGCACTCTGGGTATTTGGGGTAATGGAATTCCTCACCCAAACACTTTTGAGCATGCTTCCAGGACTTGCATGGACCTGGTCCCTTGGATGCATGCAGATAAGACCCCTCACAGTGCCAGGGGTGGAAGGAGAATGGAGTGGACAGCAGGCCAGTGGCAGGAGCTGGGGTAGGCTCCCTGCAACCTTACACATTCTGGAATTCAAGAATTCTAATTTTGTACCTGGGCATCAGGCTCATTTTCAATGTATATTCCTCAAAGTAGGAGAATAGAACTATTGTGTGTAGCAGTTTATTAGCTTAACTTACAGCTTTTAGATATTTAAACACATGACATCTGAGCCTCCATTTGCATTCTTGCCGTGGACCCCACAAATATCAGGGGCAGGCCCACTTGGAGTAAAACCTAAAATCCTTACTGTGACCTATGAGATCCTACGTAGTCTGTTAGATCCTCATAGATCCTGCCCCCACCCCACTCTGCTCCAGCTGTTCTAGCTTCCTCACTATTCTGGAACACTCCAGCACACTCCCATCTCAGGTCCTTGCACTCGCTGCTGCTGCTTCTTAGAGTTCTCTTCTTCTAGGTACCCATGTGACTTCTTCCCTCATATCCTTCAGGTCTTCCCCCACCCCCACCCCAAGTCGTTATTTTATCAGTGAGACCTTGCCTGGCCAGTCTTCCTAAAATTTTACCATTCCCCCAGCACTGGCTGACCCTTCCCTGCTTTGCTTACTTAGCATGCATCCCTGTCAAAACGTTAGAGGTAGTAAAAAACAGAACTAGCTTTTCACCTAACTATCTTCTAAAACCCCTGAGATATTAAGACTTTTTTCCCTTAAAAAATTACTACTTTAGTTTTTATGCCTTAAAGTCATCCATGTACTCACTTTAAAGAATCACATAGTTCTCTAAGGCTAGTTACTTAAAGCAACAGTCCCCCTACCCCGCCCGCAACTTCAAGAGTGACCATTTCCAACTCTCTTCAATGATTCTTTTGGTTTTTGCCACCATATCTGTATAAAGTGCTTATATTGCTACTCCTAACTTTTCGGTTTTAGGCATTATCTATTTATTTTCCCCTGTAGAGGATGAGAATTAAGCTCTCTCTTGTCACTGTCACACCCTGTGCATGCACACACGTATCCAACTCTCCACCTTCTCGGTATGGTTAAGTTGTGATTTTGGTTAGATCAAGATTCAGTGTTTTAAAAACTGTGAACGTGGGTCACAGCTGAGCCAGGAGTATACTCAGTATACTGTGATTACTTCTCTTTTCCTGCAGCATTTTATTTTTCCTGGAGTGCAAGTTGTCATGATTTTGATTTGTTTACTTCTCTAGGTTATTAGCATCACTTCCACCCCAGACTGCCCCAGTTATGTATATCTTCTTTCAGTATGTTCAGACGTCTATATTGTTTCCTTTTTCTTGAAAAAATCTCTTAGTCTTCAGATCTAATCTGAATGGTTGCTCTCAGGGTCGATTTGAGTTTGACTGAAACCAGAGACACCTCTGAGAGGCTTGTTTATCCCCAACAGGACATCAGGCAGTCACTGCAGAGACAGTTGTTTTTTTCAAATATGTTATTATGTGAGAAAATCATGAAAATGTAACTATTTACCATGAATTTATCTATGGTTTTCTTTCATGTGTTGTAATTAAGATATTTTTTATTCCAAAAAATATAGAATGTATTCTTGTATTTTATTATTTTGCATAGAGCATATTCAGAATTACTGGAATAATCTCAATAAATTTATATATATATGTATTTATTTATTTCATATTCTTTCTTAATAGGCTCTCAAAATTAGAGAGATTTGTAATTGCCCACCACTTTCTGGACCAGACCCTCGATTACTGTTCAAACTCAGTGTGAAGCATTTTCTTGAAGAATCAGAGAAAGAAGACCCAAATATCACTGTTAAGAAACAGAAAATGGATACTCTTCCCATTCAGAAACAGAAGCAAATACCATTAACCTATATAATTGAGAAAAGAACTGACAGTTGAATTAAAATTTGAGACAGAGGATATATGAAGAATGCAGCAATCCTTATCATTTTTATGTTACTTTTTAAAAAATGATGTTTGAAATGAAAAAAAATGGGTATTCAAGGTCAAATCATGTATATTACAGGTATTACCTAAATTCTTTTAGGTATTTATTTTTCATGAAATATTGATGTATTTTAATCTATTTTAAAATATTTTCAACAAGGAAAATGTCACAGAATAAATTTATATTACACATTTTACTCTGTCTCATACTTGCTTTTGATTTGAATGGCAGACCTCTCGAGGATGAGAAATCAGAATGTGCAGTAATTGTTATTGTAGAGAAGATTCCTGCTGAGCCTAAACTGGGTTTCAGCGTCTGGATGGTTGTGATGAACTGGGAAGCTGATAGTCTAAAGCATGCAGAGATTGGTTTGCGTTGGGGTAGAATTTTGTGGAATAGGGGACCTTGGGATAGAGAATTTCCTGATTCTCACTTATGGACGACGAGGGATTAAGGCTATAGGAGGAGCTGAAGAAGGTGTTTTCATGCACAAGTGGTGCTGTTTGTGGTCCAGGTGACAAAGTGAGAAGCAAAACGGGGAGAGAGGGTCATTTCCTTGCAGACACAGTATGCTTCTGGTGCCCTGAAGTCTTAATAGTTGTGTCGTTTTGGCTCCTTGACGATATTACATTTTGGGAATCTCTGGGGATCTCAGAGAAGGCAGTCACCCTGTTCTCACTGAGGTACCACCAGGAGAGGCAGGGGCAAGGTGCTGCCCCAAGTTCATCTCCCTGGGCAGCAGACATCAACAAAGGGCTGGATGAAGATGAGAGAAGCACAAGACACAGCCCTAGTGATACCCAGAAATTACTGTGTTACGTAAATGTGGAAATAAGTTTTAAAAATGCATTATTACTTATATGATATTATTTGTACTCCCAAACTAATGAAGTCTAGTGATGTTGAGGTTATATTCCCAAGAGGGACATTTTTCTTGAAACACATTCCAGTCATGTGTCACTTCACGATGGTGATACGTTCTTGAGAAATGCGTCATTAGGCAATCTCATCGTTGTGCGAACATCACAGAGTGTACTTAAGACAAACGTAGATGGAGTAGCCTACTACCTGTCTAGGCTATAAGGTACTAATCTCATGGGACCACCATGGTATAAGCAGTCCATCATTAACTGAAATGTCATTATGTAGCACATGACTGTATATTAAATAGTTTGTTAGAGAATTAAAGGGGAAAGAAATGACCTTTTATTGAGTATCTACTATGAGTTGGGCCCATTTATTCCAAAACTCTGTGAAGCAGGTTTTATTATTACCATTTTACAATGAGAAACAGGCTTGAAGAGGTTAAATAATATACCCAATGTCTCTCACTTAGACAGAGCACAGCTAAGTTTGACTATAAATCTGCCCATTTCCACAACTTGCAGGTATCTAAAACTAGGCTATCAAAAGACAAGCAACAAACTCCATTCTCAATTGTTCGTTAGCTTCCTCATGTATAGCTTCAATACAGGAAAAAATCTCGTAACTATAAAATCAGGGAGCTCCTGCAGTATCTGCAGGATGATTCTCCAGGTCCTCCTCTCAGACCCTCCTATCAGAATTTCCATGAAGAGCCTGGAGCCGGGCAAGGTGGGGGAGTGGAAGCTCTCACCCTGCCTGTGACTTCTCATTTAGGATGTGTGCTGACACCATTACATTTTCTCAGGCAAAATATTTACCTAATTCTTAAGAAGACAAGGTCAGAGCCTATTTATGTTTTTCAGGGCTTGCGAAGGATCTCTTGACCTGTGCACAAAACAACATTTGGAAGGCAGAGGCTCAGATGAACTGTTCTCCATGTAGTCATTTTTTACACTCTAGTGACGGGTCCTGTCAGAGGCACTCTATACCATGTAAGGACATTCGGAGAATGTCACCTAGAGGTAAACGGTAAAACACACCGTTTGATTTCCCTGTAGATTTCCTAACAAAATAGTGTAGTGGAGACCCTAGTCTATTTTTGCTTCCATCCCATTATCACATCTAATTGTATTGTTCAGAATTCCTAGAAAACATACAAGTTGACATCATGTCAGAAAAAGCAGAGAAAATACAGAGATAATACCTTTATAGTGTATGTGAAAAAGATTTTTTTAACCCATGAAATCAATAAATGTAAAAGAAATGTTATATTTCAGCTCAGGGTTTTAGGAGAAATTAAATAGCAATTGGAATGTAATATGTATACATATGCTTTAAGTTGCATATGGAAACGACCTCTGCATGTTCTGCATTTAGTTGCATAACTTATTGTCAGTGCTTCCCATGTGCCCATAGGATTTAGATGTTGGCTGGTTAGCTCAGTTGTTTGGAGCATGATGCCGGTAAATCCAAGACACACGTTCAATTTACTCGCTCTTATAATCCAGAAAGTTATAAGACTGTATCCTTTAAAACTAAGAGAAATGCACATTTACTGCTATGTCCCTAATACCTAATAATTTTTGGCACATTATAGGCATCCCATTAATATTTTACTGATACTGAACACTCAACATCATATGGTCAAAGGGTTTAAAAAAAGGAGGAGAAACAATCATACTTTATGAAATCTCCTCCTCTTGGTAGCCATGGGACCCTGGGCAAGTCACTTAAACTCTCTAACCCTCAATACTTCATTTGTAAAATGGGAATAACAAATCCTGCCTCCTAGGCTGATGTGATGATTAAGGGAAATGATCTACTGAGAACATTTAGCACAATGACTAGAGCTCCAAACATAATAAAAACAGCCACAAATTATTGAATACTTACTTTGTACCAAGCATGGCGCTAAGCATTTTTCAAGCACTATTGAACCTCGCTGCAACCCTATGTATGATAGGTATTATATTATCACCCATTTAGGTCAGGAAACCAAAGTTTAGAGGGTTGATGAAACTTGCTCAAGGTTACATGGTGTATTTCTTAGGATTATTTTACTTGCAAGAACAGAAAAACCAGCTCAAAATCAAGAAAATTTATTGCCTCGTGTAACAGAAAAGCCCAAAAGTACACTAGCTTCAGACACAATTTCATCCAGAGGATCATGATATCATTAGAGCAATGGCACTTTTTCTCTGCTATTTTTCTCAGCTATGGCTTCACTCTTCCCTGATGATTTCAAGATGGCTGCCAGCAGCTCCCAGGGTCACCTGACATCCAGGAGGGGAGAGTGACTCACCTTGAAACTATTGAAACAAAGCCTTCAACACTAATTGCGCTATATATAGCACCCCAGCAGCAATCACTCTGGCAGTTGATGGGATTATCCTGAATGTCAGGAGCTGAGGATGGGTACTGTCAACCCCGAATGGCTACAGCACAATGGGAGACATGCAACCACAGAGTCTATTAAGTAACTGTAATAAAAACCTGTTGCATTTATCCTCTTTCACCAGGCAAACTAACAAGATAATTCCTTGACGATTTGGTCTGAAATGATATTTAATCTGAGCAAAAACAATGTAGCATAAATTTTACATTATGATAGTAAATTTGCATTGGTATATTTGCTTTACCATTTACAAGATATTTTTTCCTGACCTGAATTATCTCATATCCTCAGAACCAACCCATGAGATTGGAAGGACAAGTGTATTTATTTACTCATAGGGGAGAAAACTAAGGCTTGGTGGAATTAGGCAAGTTATCTAAGGATGCATTTCAAGTAAATGGCTGAACCGAGACTGAGGGAAGGATCCATTGATCTGTAACCCAGTGCTCTTTCAGGAATACCACGTTCTTTGGAGAGGGAGGTATTACCTCCGTTTTTTAATCTGGAAACTGAAGTTCAAAGATAGTAGGCAACTGTGTGCCCAGTACTACTGAGCAAGTAGCGGCAGAACTGAGATTCAGACTCGCATCTTCTGACTCCAAAATCAGTGCTCTTCATCCGTTTACTACTTCAGTTGGCAAATCTCGTAAAGGAAGTGGGGATGAAAAGTGGGGATGAAAAGTGTTCGTTTCCCTTCAACTCTCACCTGTGAACAGCAGGGCCAATACCCTCCTTTCCCGCGTTTAAAAGTACTCATTTTAATGCTCTATGACAGGTGGTAAAAATATCCGTTTAAAGTATATTCACATACATGAAGGATAAAATTTATATTAATCATCTCATAATGTGTTTTTATTGAGACTTAGAGAGTTCCTTAATCTGTGGTGAGAAATATCTCTCACTTCATTACTGGAAAGAAAACCCTGTCAGGTTACTACCCCCTTACTCCTTGCCCCCTAACTTCCAACAGAAAACCAATAGCCCTCAAGGTAGACTGGTGGCTCCCAGCCTTTTAATCACAAGGACTCCTTTTATATTACCTGGCTCTGCATGTGTGGGCTTTTACACCACAGAGTTCTCTTTGTCTTGAAAGGTTGGAGTGTCTAGACTCATGACCAGGGTCTTGCTGCACTTGGCTGTTTAGGAGTTGAGGTAGTTGGGCTCGGGGCATAAGTCACAGTGTGGTCCTGCTTCTGGGTCTCAGAATTTCTGTGACATCATCAAAGACCAATCAGGACCTCTGATCATCATGTGATCTCTGGTGTTACCAAAATTCCAGCCAAAAGAAAGATTTGTGATTTCAATTAGTCTGAGTGGCCTAATTATGTGAGAGAAAATATAAAATTTTTAGTTAGGCTCTTTGAAATATTAAGCATAACTGGTAGATTCCATTACCATCTTCACAGACCACAAGGGGCCTGGGACCTCATCCTGGGCAGTATGGGTTTAAAATCAGATTTGTTTTTTTCTCTCCAGAATGTAAAAGAAAATAAAATTAACTTGTATTAATTTTGACCAGTATATCAAAGTATAACCCTATTTCTATAGCTTAGGGATGATGGATAGTCTGCTTAAGGGTTCTGTTGTTCTATATTTAAGGATATATTTTTAAAAGTTGAGTATTGTTTTTGCACAGAAACAAATAAGTTGAATTTAATTTTTTCTACTACAACTGTTCCCCTCTGATGTTATAGTAGCATTGAGAGAATCAAGGGCAATGTGGCTGGTCTTATTTTTTCTTTGGGAAATGGGATAGTAATATTTGCTTTGCCTGCTTCCCAGGGTTGTTGTGAGCTTTAAATGGTAACATGTGTATGCTCTGTACAACATCCAAAATGGTGTACCCAGGCTGATTGCTATGCTCTAGCATTGTCTTAGTCTGGGCTATAAGATTATTAGTTAGGAGAGGTCATTTCCAAAAGGATGACCGTTTGCCT